AAACCAAAAAACTCTCTCGGATTATTTTATATAAACCGTCGCAGTAACCCCTGCGACAAAATTTTTTATATTTGTTTATTTTTTATACTTATTCTGCGTTAACATGGGTGGTTTGATGGGAATCGGTCCTACACTTTTCTCAGTTTTTCTGAGTGTTGAAATTTTAGCCTCGAACAAAAATTAATCTATAGTTTACTTAGTAAGATATCTTCAGTTAAGATATCGGTTTACATTTCGCCGGCTCCGTCAGCGGGCAGCGACGGTGACGTAAACTGTATATATTAGATGCCGCGATACATCATCGCCGGTACCTTTTGATATACATCGTGCCCTGACTGTTTGAGGGTCCCAGCGTCACGTATACAATGTAAAACGCGACAAATAAAACGTCTCTGATTGGTGGACACGACGAACCCAAAAAGGGTATAAAAGAAGCGTTTCTTCTTACCGGACACTCAGTAGAGTTTGGTCGCTCGATCGGTTTCGCTCATATACCTTCTCTCAATACAGGATTAAAATAAAGTCTTTTAAGCAAAGTATTAGAATCATATTCATTTTCATTCCATAATCCCAATACTGAGCAACGCACAGTAGTAAACGGAATGTTCCCATCATTGTTCATGTTTGTAGACACTATCTTGGACGGAGACACCTGCGGTGCGTGTGTATGTAGGAGAATAGACGGCAACTAAATCCCTCACAAAGATGAACAAACTTTAAAGTCGATTTTCTCTAAAACGGGGCCCGGGATGACAAAATGTTGTACCAAATTTTCTGATTTTTCTCAAATAGAATCATCCCCTTCTCGGTTGTACTACGAATTCCGGCCCACCCTATATAATACCAAAGAAAACAAAAAAAAAAGACGTACCGAACTAGAATTGCCCCTTAAGAAGAAATATTTTTCCATAGACACGCTCCGATTGCCGACAAGAGTAAATCATCTGACCGGAGGTATATGCAGAATTAAAAAGAGGAAACAATGATCCGGCGTTCTTTATGACGGCAGACGGTCGATCAGGAACAATACAAATGAGCACAACACGCATTCAGTTCCAGTGACCGAAAGTTAATCGTACGAGTAGAATCGGGCGGCGGGCTGCAACGTCGGCCACCGCCAAGAGTTAAATTTGCTTTCTTCGACGTTGTCCGGCCTGCCTACCTCGTCCCCCCTCTTTCGCCCTCGTCAGGCCTGATTTGCCATCGTCGACCCCGTTAAGCTCGAGTTATTAGTTATCAGCTGGTTTCCACGGCGTTGTCAATGTTCTCTATCCTCGGGTTCGGGTTATTGATCGACCGTTCGGAAGATTCCTGGCACCGAGGTCACTTCTGGTAGACTGCTCGTCTAGCAGGAAGCAGAGTGGTAGTCGTCCCCCGAAAGAAGATCGGCCAACGAACTTATTGATTATACTTTCGAACTGGTTCGCCCTGTTCGCAATACCGGAGGTCTCTGCTGACTGTTGCACAGCGTCGCGTCGCGTCGCGCAGCAATAGTGCTCCAACCGCGTGATCCTCGTCAAATTTCGTCGCGTCTGCCGATGCCCCCGGAGCCCTCGTTTCATCACTTATCGTTTTTTATTTGTTTGTACAGGTTATTCCGCGCGGAAATACTGAATATTCCCCGGGGAAATCCTAGAGCCAGCGCCGCGGCGCGACGCGATGCGTATCGAGCTCGACTTCGAATGATTAAAACGAGAGCATTCAGGGGAAATTATTTATTGAACGATCGTTAGACGATTTTCAAATTGGGGACGCAGCTCCTAGATGCTGCTCAACACAGCGTGCAACGAATTGCGGTCCGGGATAAATCTTCGAGGACAGTTTGCTCGCGAATGGCTAACGAAGCGATTTTACAGTGGTGCACGGTTAACGCTAACGTTTTTTATTTTAAAATTGTTGGTACTATACCGTAAGAAACCACACACGTTTTTTGAAATGGTATTACTTCTTTAAAACTGGACTTGGATTGTTTTCAATGTTAGGGGGACTAGTTTACTGATCAATGATCAAAATACATTTTTTTCATATTGCTACTACTTCGAATAAAAGCGAAATAGGAAACACTCGTTTTCTCACTTTTTTATCAGAGCCTATAATGAAAATTGAAAAAAAAGCATTTGATAAAATAGCTTCTATTCTGAAAATTTCGTTGAAATCGGTTGACGTTGTTATGAGCTGTTAGTGACAAGCAGCAGTTTCTCACGAATTTCAACCAAAAACCAGGTAATTTTTATGTGGCTCTTTTGCCGTGTAAGTGGTTGCAACTTGATTATGCGTTAATCGATTTCAATTTGATCGAAATGAAATGAAATTTTCAACATATTATACAAGTTACCGAGAAGTTTTCGAATTTCCTTGCGCACATTTTATAATGTCCATATTATTATCTGAATTTTAATATTATCATTGTTTCGAAGTTTCCGCACGCAGTTTAACGAAATTTCGAAGGAAACTCAATTGTATTACGTCCGCTCCGCCATCGGGGCGGGACTCAATGATTCATAGACGGAACAACCGATAACTTCAGAAACTTCGAAACGTTCCAGAGAAGTAAAAGTTTAGCACAGTTGATCAGGAACAATCGACCGACCCGCATGCTGTTCTTCGTCACACAAGGATAAAAACCACGGCAGATTTTTGCGTTCGATTCGATTCGTTAAGGGCTGAGAAAAGTAATATCGTAGCTGGAAAATAATATAATATAACTAGTCTGCGAGTTCTTATTTGCTAAATATAGTAAAACACAAAGTTTGTAGAAATGCTTCTGCAGTTGATGAAACAAAGTTCTGAAAATAAAGTTCTACAACTTTTGTATTCTTATCAACGAAGCATAAAATACTTTACTGCTAGATTACAGTAAACAATATTACTTTATAACACACAATTTAAATGTCGAAAAGAATGTCTTGTTCATTGTAGCAATCTTCTAAATATTAAACTTCGAAGCGAACTTTCGTTTCTTTCTTATTTTAGCGAAAGTTATGAACATTTTCATTTGCTTTATCAATAATAGTGTCTATAAGGTGTGAATATAATCTTTGATCAGCAAAATGGCGATTAAAACCTACTTGCTAAGTACTTACTCCAATTACGAAAGGTAATATTGCAGCATTACTGCTTGACTCGCTCAAGGGTGCTTGTAACCCTCGCGGTCTATGAGAAAGTGGTTTTACACTCATGTGTAATAATAACGAAATCAATTTATTCAAAAAGTTAAACATACTGAAATTTATCCGTTGAACAATTTACGCCTAGATAGTATTTATTATTCAGATAATATCCATATAATAATATCCATATAATATTTCAAAATATAGATTTTCTATTCTATTGCTAGATGGAATATGGGTTGTTATAATAATTGAAGTATAATGTAATTTTTTTAACTTTATGAGAAATTACATCATAGAATTAAAATATAAGAAGTAACATATAAAATATAAATGTTCTAACTATTTTTTTGTGTTACTTCTTATATTTTAATTCTATGATGTAATTTCTCATAAAGTTACAAAATTACATTATACTTCAATTATTATAACAACCCATATTCCATCTAGCTATTTAAATGGTTATTGAGTAGCAAAAAAATGTCTGCACATATGATTGAAGAATTGCAAAAAATTATGTTGATCCAAGTCAACGTTTATTTTCCCGAAAAATAAAAAATCTGACAACCTAGGTTCTCAAGACGGAAACGCTGCTGCTTTCAAGTATATGTTTATTCTACGTAGTCATGATTTACGTCATTATTATAGATACAAGATATAGGCTAATGTGATATTCATACGCCGTAAAAGTTGTTGCGTTGCTTCTGCTTTTTTTCACAACCCTTTAGTTCCCTCTTGAACACCTAGATTTTATTCTGCATACTCATCTTATACACCTCACGATACGAGAAAGCACATGGTTCTAAAATATTGCATTGTATGCTTTAAGCATATGAATGTAGTAAATATTATAACAATGAAGAGAAAAAGGACACTTGCATTACAAAAGTATAATAAAACGATAAAAATAGTAACAACTATTTTTCTCTAACGAGGTGTTCTATATTAGAAGCTTGACTTGACGGAATTGATTGCTTTGTATTTAGTTGATAAATTATATCCTTATTGATAAACTGAATTCATAACTAGACTGTAGATTTTATGTATTTATTATACTATTTTCAACTTATTTAAATTTTTAAGAAACGAATTAAATATCTGTATAGTCCTTATATTTTGTAATTAGTGTAAATATTTTTTATTTTTCAGAAAAATCCGTAGTCTCTGTTCATAACAGCAATAAAGTAATAATTTTAAAGTGCGACACAACAACGAATGCATTTCATTCCAATCTATACTTTGAATATCTTTTTTTAAAGGGAACACATTATTAGCAATTCCAGATTTCATTTATCCTGTATTGAAAAATTTGTTTGTAAACGTTTTTGTAACTTTATCGCATTAAAAATTGTCAGAATGGGCAGAAAACGTTTCAAGTGATAAAAAAGTTATTATAAACAATGGAAAATCATTTCTCTATTGACAATCAAGTTGCTGGAGCGATTATATTTTAATAACGGGAATGATATCTGCTTTTTCATTTGTGAAAAAGTATCCACTGCTTTTTTGTACTACCGTTGAATTCAAAGACCACTTAGAGCATTGCTCATTGAAGCCAGTCGCTGATTTTCAACAAGCTTGAATTTTTCAGACTTCGCAATACTGTAAATGAAATCAGTTCTACGGATGTTATGGAATCCTGTGCAGCATGGTGTTCCCACTTTCTCACTGCTTTTATCGCCACACTGGTGCCACCTAACACCGGGATTGAATACTTCTAATTCGTGTTAGTATTGCCGGGATGGTGCCCTTTAAAGTAACAGTGTTTGGTTAGTTTGTTTATATATTTTTTAATTTGTATATACCTCAACGTGATGTGTTAAAAAGGAACGGAATCACATCATTGCAACAAAGGAACACTTATACGTCATTTTTGCTATTAAGGTTTACATCTTTTTCTCAATATTATACAATGAAAGTGGTGAACATGGAACTGCTGTTTACATTGCTTGCTCGTCTGGAAAATTTGGAGGGATGTGTAAATACTTTGTAAATAATTGTACATTACTGTAGAATTTGTAATAGTGGGATTTGGTTTGCGTTGGTGAGAGGAAACTCTAATGGATGATGAGTGATTCTGATGATACAGATGTTCTACTCCTAATTCCACCTGACCTATTCCTTATAACATCGTCTTCAGAGTCTGACGATAGTTTTGACCGTGGGAAAACAGATTGCAATTATACAAGAACTGGAGTAATATCGGAACTTGTCGGACACATGCAGTCATTAGAAAACAGAATTACTGCTATCGAATCCAAAGATAATAGCTTAGATGCTACTTTACTAAACATTTCATTGGATTCGCAACTCCAAAATAATACAGCTAATAAGCTTAGACGGACATTACCTAGAACTAAATTCTGTGTAAGTCAAAGTTCTAGCTTACAAAATACACCCGTGAAACCTAGGCGATCCTTGTCTGTTCCATCAACTCCTAACAGTTATTCATTACCGAACCATATTAATTTTCATCGTGACGACTTAAAATCTCAGAATAAATTTCCTAAGGTTAATGGTACTAATACAACTAATATTAATGATCATGATAAAACTGAGCATGATTGTCTAATGTCCCATTCTGAATCCTCTGTGGTGGTACCTTCTGCTTCTCGCAGTGTGGGTTTCCCGCATGCTACTGGTATTTCTTCTAAAGGGGAACCTTGCTCCTATCCATTTGATTGCTATAAAACTACAAATAATATCTATAATAAATCTTCTATTAACCAACTGAACTCAATGCCATCTACTTCGACTTTGATTGGTGCCACAGAACAACCGAATTTGTACTCTAGAACTATTATACAAGAAATGGAGCTATTCGAAGTGGACGAGCTACTCCAGGAAATGGAGGCAACTGAGCTAGAATTATCAAAGCGTATAAATAGAGCCTCTATACATCAGTCTTCCAAGGAAGAGATTGATTCATTAGCAACTGATCAAAGTAACGAAATATTCAGGAGCAAGGTTCATAATAACATCCATAAACAGTCTACTAGTCGCAAACTAGAATTTGACTTGCAAGATTCATATCAGAGTAGTCGACCAGTTATAATGCAAAAAAAGAGTTCTGATATGTTTCCTGATATATCCCTTCCATTTGATGACTCCTCTTACATTGATCGAACTAACAAAGTGATCTCAGAGTTTAAAACGTGGGAACAGAATGTTAAAAGACCTATATTGAAGGGTGAACAAATAGAAAATGTAAGCCCACTAAAGAACATGAACAATACTGATCAATCAACTTCCAAAGCAAATGATGCGAAAAGAAAAGAATCAATTTTAGGACAAAACTCCATTAGTATAAGTGATACAAATAGTGCAGGAATGAGTAATGCACCTGCTATACAAACCCAACCTATGCAAAAATGTTCAGATTCTTTGTTGCCTACTGAATTATCACAATATAATACTGCAACATCTACAAGAACTACAGATTCATATGCACCATGTCTTTCTGAGATCTACAAAAAAAGCACTCAACAAAATGGTAATATTCAAAACACGAAAGAGGTACACAATGCACCATTTACTGTGCATAGTACAAATACTGTTAATGTTTCTACCAATACAGATATTTTTCCACTTTCCAGGTACTTTTATTATGATTGTACTATTTATGTTTATTATTTAGATTTAACAATTATGAACCACATTACTTTTATTTTAGGAAATCACAAAGGTTTTTATCATTGTCAGATTTTTGGGATAATACTGGTACCAGGTCCCAAGAAGAAATGCGTAGAATTAAATTAGAAGAAGAGAAATTTCGTCGAGAGGTATGCGTTAACTCACATCAAACTTTTTACGAATTATATCATATAGTTGTTAATAAAGAAAATATTTTACAGCATTGTGAACATTTAATTCAAGAACTTCAAAAACGATTATTGGAGCAACAAGAAAAGGTGGCGGTAGCACTTAGAGTAGATAATGAAAAAAATGAACTGATATCGCAATTTCATAATGCATGGTCTAAAATGAAACAACGACTCCACGTTATGGAAAATGAGTGTGGTACTTTGCAAACAAATCTAAAAAATGTTACGGAGAAGCATAAGTCAGAAATTTCAGAATTCCAGTCGCAAATTAAACGATATGAAGGAGAACTATCTAAGGCTCTAGATCTTGCAGCTGGTTATAAAGAAAAAAGTGACAATGTAATAAAGGAAAAAATAGAGCTATTGAAAATTCATGCTGATGAATTAGAAAATTATAAATCGTTTGTTCAAGCAGCTGAAAATAGGTATGAACAATTAAAACTAGACTACGATAAATTATTAGAAAAGAACAAACAAAATGAAGAAACGATAAAAGCTTTCCAACAAGATTTAACTAAAGAACGATTAAAAGGTGTAGAAGTTAGGAATGAAATGAATGTTATTCATAAAGCATTGGATACCTGTGAGGCTGAACTCACTATTCTGAGACAAGAGAAAGAAAGTTTACAACTGAAATTGAAAGAAGAAATAAATAGAAATGCAATTTTGGAACAAAAGAATGCTGCACTACTTTCATCGATTGAAGAGGCAAGAAAAGCAGAGGTAATGCATTCATCGACGTTTCCTTGCATGATGAAATACTTATTCGTTCACCTTCACAGAGAGAAGCTAAGGACGAAACTAAATCTCTTGCTGAAAAGAAAGAAAAAATTAGATTGGAGATGCAAGAACTTTATCAGAAACAAGTCGACGAAGTTGTAAAAGTCAAATTACAAGAATTTCAGACACAGCTTGATGTGGCAGAGTCAGAATTTCTCGAAGAATTGAAAACCAGACAACAAGTTATTGCTGAATGCGCGGCTAGAAAAATTAAAGATGTTATAGACAAGTATGTTCATTTGTTTCGAAACTGTATGCTTATATTATTAAAAAAAACATTGTTATATTATGTTATTGTTATACATGCATGCTTGTAATTTAGACATCAATTGGAAATAAATTTACTCGAAGAAAAACATAAAGAAGAGATACGATTATGCGAACTTCAGTTGGCACAGACATTACAGAAATCAGCCATATTGGAAACGCAACTTAATTCTCAACGCGCTACCAAATCTCAGCTTGCTGAACAGTTACATTCTGTGATGCAGAAGCAATGGCAACAAGCGTTAAAGATTATATCAGGTATAATAATTGAAGTGTACATAATATTACGTTAAAAATTAAAATAACAAGGTAACCTCTATCTACAGGAGGAAATATGGAGGATTTGTCGCCACTCCAAAAAATTCACGCTGAGAAATTGTTCAAGGGTCCAAGGAAATCCGAATCAATGCCAAATTGTTTTATGAAGGTATCCCAAGAACCAATTAGATTAAGATTCCAAACTGCAGACGTACAAAATTTTCACGATCAAAATGAAAGTTTAAGTACAATAACTCCAATAGAAGACACGCCATTGAGTAGTAAAGAATCGAAGGATGATCTTCGGAAATATGTAAAAATGGTAGATCGTACTTTATCTTAGTACATTTTATTGTCATTAAAACAGTAATTATTTAATCAAATATCCCTAGATCGTTGATATGCAAAAATCGCGAGAAGAATTGTTAAAAATTCGAGAAACTATTCCAAGTCCTCCTTTAGTTTGTAGAGAAGTGCCTCGGAAACATTACATAAAGAAAGAATTGAGTATAAAAGATGAAGACAGTGTTATTTGGCAACCTACACCCGATGTGATTATATTTTATTATTATTAAATTTTACTATTAAGTTCGTAATTTTCTATTTCTTTAATATTTCAATTTTGTTTATCAGGCTAGTCAAGATACTACTGAATTTATTCCAATTTCACAAAAAGTGTGTATAAAGGGGGATCAGCAGAAGAATAAACCGCCATGGAAATGACATATTGTTTATAATTCCGAAAACGTTGATTATGGTATCGACGAAGTAGACGATATTCGTACAGTGCATTTACTTAGCCCTAATTAAAATATAAATATACACATATTTTGTACTCAAATTAAATGAATTTTATACGAAGGCAGAGTAATTATAAACAAAAATTTTCTTTCCTTTCCCTTGATCCTAATGCCTTTATTTTTGAACCGGTTATAGCGTTAATTGGTTCATTCTACGATTCCGAAAAGGAACAGGATGTCCGATAATGAATCTGTGATACCGCGTCTGCTGCGTCAGATTAATGATGCGTGTGTCTTTCAGAATATTCCAAACGGTCACATTATTTTACACTTTACATAGAAGATACAAGCTTTACAATGGAATAATTTTATTTACATAAGTGTTATAAATACTAATATTCCGAATTGATTTTAAAAACTAATTTTAATATTAATACAATAATTGAAATGTTACATACTGAAAATGGAACTGTGCTTCCAGTTTGCTGCGTTGCAAAGAAGATCGCCATATAAAGTTGACCTCGTAACGCCATAGAATTGTGTTCTGCAGTAGGCAAGACTAAGTAAGTCATCCCACCTTTCAGAAAAATTGCTCACCGTACTAAGAGTTCTCGCAAGCATAGAATTATCCGAAAGTGAACAATAGCCTTTGTTTTCTCTTTGAGTCATTAGAGATTACTAATCACGGGTCCAGGGAAAGTATTCCTCACAAGAAAAGATTTACAATAATATTATTCCACGAAACATGTTTGAGCAAATATTGCTAGATATTTACTATTTGGAAAGTTACCCTCGGACATGGTGTGAATCACGAGAATAATTACTCATTTTAGACACGTTTTTCGTAGGGTGAGGTGGTATGTTAAAGTTATTCAGGGAACTGTTACTGAATTGTATATCGATAACGTTCCTTGAATAGCAATATGGTGAAGGAGTAAAAGACATGTCTTGCTTGATTCTGAAGACGCATACTAATTAAATACGTCTCAATTTAAACAGTCGTTGAGATGCATTCAGTAATGAAGAGCATGATTAATGTCCACGCGTTCAATGTACGCGCATAATTTCATTGTACGTTCATTAATATCTACTACACGTTATAAGTCTACGGCAGACAGAACAGCATTACCATCGTAATCGTACATTATTCAACAATATATATTATTGATTGAATCACGTGACTTTGTCAATCTCCGTTCAAATAAATATGAATTCGTATAAAATTATTATTGCTTTCGTATATTGTCCCTATTACTGTTAGTAATTCATTTCGGAGTGAAGCAGAAATCTAGTGAACGAAATTCTGTGCAGTATAAGATTTATTAATAATAAATAAGATTATATGTTATTATTATATAAAATTATATATTATGATTTGTTAATAATATTATTGTTAAGGAATATATTTATTTCATTTTTATAATTTCTTTTCAATTTTGTACGCACAACCAAGTCTCGTTTGTTTTTCACTTTGCTATTTCTAATAATTTCTCCCTTCAAATCGCCATTACTATATTTTTCATCTTAGAGATCCACTGTTTCTTTTCTCTAAAAGCATCTTCAATTTTTTATGGAGATGCTTTTTTAATAGCTGTGGCTTCTACCACAATAATTCATTGTTCATTTTTTCGTAGCGTGCATTTACACGATATATCAGACAGGAAACTGAAATGCCTCCAGAAATATTAGAATATTTATTTCATCAATGAATCTACTACAGATTCGAAGATTGAAACTTCCATTTTACGACGACCGCTCGAAACATAGTTTAGGATATTTTGCAATCGTTTTATAGAACAGAAACGAGGAACTAGTCCGGTAATAAGTAAAGAGTAAGCAAAATATCTTTCATTCGAAGCTCAATGAAATGACTATAAAAATATCGTTGTAAAGAGAAAGTTTCACAATCTATTCAAAATTCAATTTTCGTACATTATGCAAAAACATGTTAGAACACGGTGCCCAGCGAAAGTAGAAACCCTAAGATTTAAAATCAGACCTTATTGTTGTTGTAATTACCAATACGTAATTTGTCAAAAACCGGAAAAGTGTACAGAGAATTCCTGGAGCCACTGTGTGCGGGAAAAAAACCGTGTTATTCCGTTGCTCGGTACCGAGTACCAAGGAACGGCCGGATAGCAAGTGAAAAAAAAAAGTGGAAGTCGGTCAGGCACACCGCATGCATCACCTAACAACCCCGATTCATCGACCTTCGAAGGTATTCACCTCGCGTCACTCATTGTCGTGGAGACAAACCTCAGCTCGCCGGGTCCATTTGCTTTTACCTTGAAGCGAGACTCGCGTTCCAGCGTGCACGTAACTATAAAAACCCGGTAAGATACGAGTGGTAAGCACGGCGAGAGCAAGCGGGACGAAATGCTCTAACACAGTCGATGCCCTTCTTTAGCCGTGACAACGATCGCACGCCTACGATCGCGGGCCGATCCTGGACCTAAGCCGATCTGCGACGCCAGTTATGAGGATTCTACGCGCGAGGCGATGCGAGGCGCGGAACAAGTTGCCGATTGAAAACGAAAGAACACCAAGAATGCAAAGGGAGGAACGTGATAGTGACCACCCCCTCTTCGGCCGTTGCAGATAGTAGTAGTCATGAGCGGGTCCGCTCTTCATTCTGCCCGGTTCCGTGGCCTTTAGTCACCGAGGCGGACCGACCGGGCGAACAGGCAAGAAGTTCCGCGTGTGCCAAGTGGCTAGGAGCTTGAATGCGACCAGGAGAATGCGGCCCGGAACGAGATGTTCGAGACTCGGTTCGCTGATAATAGTTCTACTGCTAGCGGCCTGCATAATAGAAGACACCGCCGGTACTTGGAACAGGCGGGAGGACAAGACCAAATGCCCGAAAGTGAAGGCCATTAGGAATTTTGACATATCCGAGGTACGTACCGCGCAGTGTTATATTATCGTCGAAGCGACCACACTGTCCTCTCCGATCTACGGAAACCGAAATGATCGTCCCTAGCTAGCTGCTGCACCGTGTTGTGGATCTCGCGAAGAAATGTCTAGCTGATATCCTGAGAACACGGGAGTCATTTACTGTTATGAGTGTGGTATACAGTTATGAATTGTTTGGAGGAGCTATTGTGTTTACTCGCGGGCGGTTTAAGAGTCCACAATGAATACTAGGAAACCGAGTGTTGTTCAGTTTACGAGCAAATTAGGAGATTAGATAATGCCTCGTTTCAGTTTTTTTTTTGGATTCGTTGGTCCAGCAGTTTATCGTGTGTTTATATCTCAAGTCGCGGAGTTGAGCAAATCACTTATAAATGTTGAATGAGAAGAATTAATTTCTGTCAGATCAAAGGAACTCGAATGGCTTAGGTGTCTTAAAATAAGCTTTCATGGCCTTCCGTATCGATTTTTAGAAACGTTTTTCATTCCAATTTATTGTTTTTATCCCAATTGAAAAATATAATCTACTTGTTTCACGAAAATAAAAGTGCGAACTAAAAGAGCGAATATAAAATTGCCACGAATACGCAAAACACGATCGTTGTAATGTATTTTGTTCGCTTCTGAGATAAATAATAGCCACTCTCGGCGCGTTATCCACGATAATAATTTATATTTGCAAGGTTGACTTTTTCATTTGGGAAGATAGTATTTAATTTCTATGCAAAACACGCGACCGCTCGACGTTTTTGAATATCCACTCAATACGGCGCAGAGTTACGGCCGGCTCGTTAATATTTTCGTATCACAAATAGATGATCACGTCTGATTCCCGATCAATATGCGCACCGAATGTATAATAATAATTGCGTGGAGTACGATTGGAACGTTTTCGTTGTTAAATACTCACGATCGCATGCAACCGCGATAACAGAAATTACAATTTCCCCTTCGATATCTGTCAGCTTCCTTTTGCATCTTCGCTTGCGATTCATTTACAATTGCTCACGAAATTATTACATTCACGGTGTATACTTTATATCACTTTTATCATTGTTTCACTAGTTTTGCAATTTTCACAGGAAGAATTAGATTGTATTCAAATATCGTATACTGTTTCATTTAAATTCTTCTCTGTATGCAAATCGCCTTAAATTTTCAAATTCAATTTATCTGACTGATATTGACTGATATTGCGATATATGTAGTGTGCTCGAAATAGCGGTACTAATAATGAAAAGTACACTTATCTATTTAATATTGATATAATTATGTTTCTGAGAAGAGATTCAGAAAAATTATAACGTCACGGTTTTCATAAAACATTATATCCTTCAAAGATGTGTAAGTTACGATGCTCACAATTATATATATATATATATGGTGAGAATAATGAAAAGAGCATTAATCTATTTAAACTTGATTTTTGTTGTTAACAAGCGAACGAGAACATTTTTAACGTCATAGTTCTCATGAAACATTATGTACTTTCTTCGGAGATGTATTGTTTATATGCATACGATTGTCAAAGAGCTGCACAAAATATCGCAAGCTTTCTTTCAATGGATGACTCCAGGCAGCGTATTTTTGGACCTTTATGTGTGTTCATGAGAGAAGGCTATTTCAGATTCAACTTGTGTGCATATAAAACTACTTGCTTCTATCGAACACCTTTGTGTTCTTTAACACGTTCACTACGATAAGCTCCTTCCGCTTCTTGCTTAATATTGTTGAATTATTTCTAAGAAGTCGATTGATATCATTTCGTTTTAAAGGTTACTAAGATATTATTCTTTTGAACAAAGAAAGTACAAAACAATGACTTACACAAATAAATGTGTAATATAATATAACGTGGTTCTCATTATGTTCATTAACCCTGTCAATATATAATGTATACGTGTTACGGGATATTATGCAAGTGATATAATCCAAATAGCATATATGTAATACGAATATAGTTATAAAGTCATGAAACTAATATAAAAAGTAGATATTTTCCTTCTATTATATTTTTTCATTTTAGTCGGCACTGGAAAGATTAAAGCCTACTGTGATTGCAAATATATAATATATATTTCAATATTTTATGATATAAAATATAAAACTTATATTATTTCAAAATTGAACTTCGAATAATTATATTATATCGAACGTAGAAGATATAAAATTATAGAGAGGGAACGTTTTTTTTAAATCGTGTTCTCCGTCCTACATTCAAATCAATTTTAGCCAGAATCACTATTGACAGCGTTAAATCGTAATTCTTCGCCGTTAGAAAGTAATCATGTCGGCTCCATTCAGATAGGCCACGAACCGAACCGTTTCCATTGATAACCCAAAAGTTATTGATGTGTGTGATACGTATTCTGAAGGTCGCTTCTGTGCTGCGAGAGACTTAAAGGGTCCTTAGGCAAAGAGTTCGAAACTATCAGGACATTTGATATTCACTAAAAGAACACTTTATCTATTGTAAGTCAAGAGCCAATGCCTTCGGCGGGTAACATGATATCGAAACTATCTGTTGTCATATTAATACCATTTTTCTTTCTACTTACATATACATACATGTATATTGCAACATATGATATATTTATTCAGTGAGAATATTCTATTAGATTATTATTATGAATATAGATGCTTAAGTTAGATTCTTTAGAGTCCGATGTATTTGATATTAAATGTTCACAATCAACAATCGTACACATCTACAATTACATTTGACGCATAATTGTAAATATTGATAAAGAAAAATGTTAATTGTAATTTCTTGTTCTTTACAAATCACATGCATAATTTTAGATATTTTTATTTTCATTGAACAATAGACATAAAGTATAGAAATGCCACATGAAATTGCTTGTTCTTATGTTATATTTAACTTCTACTTAAATGATGTAACTTATGTGCTAGAAATTATTCTCTTTTAATAAGCTTTTAATAAACGGAAATACTAACAAAAACACTTTCTATAATCTCGCCACTTTGAGAAGCTGTAAAGTACACATGTTCACGACATTCTGCTCTATCCAGGCAACTAAAAATAACTTGAGTATATTTCAATCTTGAGGTTATTGGGCCTCATAATATATTAGTAAATAATTACATAAGCCAGAATAATATACTCTTTGTTTTGCAATCGAATGTGCTTCCTCAATTTATATAATTATAATAGAAAATCAGATTGTTGTATTGAAATCTAATAAAAATCAATTATATGTACATTAACTATTAACATTAACTTTTATAATTTCATACGTATACAAAGAATAAAATTCTAATAGAAAAATATTTCATATTTTATGTTTGAGAACAAAGGATTTATTATTTAGCACAATTGCGCTTATATTTTAACTACGTTAAATATATTGAAGAAGTAAGTACAGTGCAAAGCAAGAACTACAAGAAACAATAGCAGATAGACCAATTACTTAAAATTCTTGTAATAGTCGCAGGAACATATTAAAGTGACAGTAATCCGGATGGAGATGCCTTGTCGAATAATAAATGAATGCATAGTAGAGAGAAAGGACAGTTTTGCTAAGCCTGTTGTGCAAAATGACAGTTTGTAACAACGATTTCGTGATCTGCCTTATGTGAACGTCGAGGAACTATTTATGTTTGCACGATCAGAAGAATACTAAATTTCCCTCTCCGACGTAAATCATTTTATAAAATGGACCTCATATCGTTGCCATCCAAAATTTCCTCCATTTCGTTTCATTTTGTTTAAATGAAATACAAGTCCACTCGAACGGAAAATCGATGAATTCTTTTCGAAATTATGATTTAATATTCAGCTGCGCGGTCTAAACAAATAATCATCGAAGTAATTAAAACCGTAATTCTCATATACAAGAGAACTTTTCGCTGAAACGACTAACGAGACTTTAGCAAATTTGAATTTTGCACCTTCAAACATATGTGTAACATTATTTTGGAGTGAAATGATAATTAATATCTATTTTAATTGAACGACGCGAAAATCAAACTGTTGAATAATCATTCAGTTACGACCCTATTGAAAGTATATTAAAAATTGTACTAATTACTTTGTTTGAAAATTGTATATTTGCTGCTTCGTAGATTGCAATTATCGCTGCACATTCACGTGTAGTAACGAGGCAAAATATAGGTAGATTGATACATTCACATTGCGCTGATATGATGGAATACAGCGTCGTCATCGGAAATGCTTCATTTAGGTTTGTATGGAGTAACGATGCAATTACTCCTATTTATTTAGGTCTCCTACAACGAAATATCTAATAATTAATTTATTTCGTTCCGCCTGCCTCGGTTAAATGTTTCTACGTGCACGCAATGCCATTTAAATGAGCCAATTTAAGCAAATTGTTTCCGAGAACGAAAGTTCGTATTCATCTTTTATTCGACTTTTATCGAATGCATTGTCAAGCTGCCTACTTTACTTTATCAATTATTTCGTTTATTAAACGTTTCGCAAAATTTAAATCGTGTCACAATTTTTCAATTTTGTCGACATTGTATATATTACAAATGTATTCATTAAAGTTCCAATGCGAACGATAACAGATTATTAAGAGGGAACAGCTTCGCACAGTACGAGTAACATCTATTTCTTGCAGTTCCTCGGATCATGGTACATAGTGCAGTATTATGCGAGCTCGGAGGAAGCGCTCGCATACAGATGCATGCGAGCCGAACTTTCAATCTCGCCCGAAAACACCGAAGTCACCATGAATTTCACTTACAGTTTCACCGACGATCCAATCAATGAAAAACTAGTCGGTAACATCACCTGGAAGATTCCTTCGACCGAGTTACCTGCTCACTGGGTACATGCCGAGTATCCATGTAAGTATCAAAAATATTCTTTCAACTACTACTCTGCTTACCATGCTAAAATCATAGTATATAAAAGATCAATGCTTCAGTGATATTACAGGTACACGATTGAATTAAATAAAATATGCATATTAACGAATATCAATTACGATAGCAAGTAATAAATACAATTCTGTATAAAGAGTGGGCTGGAATTCGTAGTACAATAAATTCTCTCAAATTGTCCCCCAGCTTATGAACAAATATGGACAATTTCGGAAGAGAAGATACGATTATTCGAGCCTCACGACTCGTTTTTGTAGTCGCTATATGTCGACAAGTATAAAAACGAGCCGCTAGGATCGAATGACCTTTCGACCATTCGACCATTCGATCACCTCCTCTTCCAAAATTGTCCATTTTTGTCTAGAAGCTGAGGGACAATTTGGACGAATTTACTGTATAACTGAGGAGAGCGAGAAAAATAAGAAACAAATTTGATGTAACATTTTTTAATCCAGGCCTCTGTTTTTGAGAAAATCGACTCCGTTCGAGATAATGATTACAAACATTGACGCTGATGGAAACATACCGTTTTCTTCATAATTCGCAATAATTAATATTTATGAACACTATCGCGAACGGTGGCAACTGCGGTACTAGACGAATAGACAACTAAATCCCTTTACGAAGATGAACAAACTTTCTCAATTTTCTCGAAAACGAAGCCTCGGATAAAAAAATGTTATACCAAATTTGTTTCTTATTTTTTCATGTAGAATCTGCTTGGTTGTACTACGAATTCCGGCCCACCCTGTATAATCACTAGACTGTGGATTTGTGTGCACTTATAGCGTGCGCAAGTTTAGAAAGTGCAAGGAAATTACACATACACAAATACACGTTAACAGGCAATAATTGCGATGCTATTTTATGTTCTCCAAAAGAAATCTTTCAGACATGAAATTATTCCCTCCTACAAACTGTACATTTTAGTACATGCTCTAAAATGATAAATAACGATAACACTATTTTAGTAGCTGATGTATACGTTCGTGCAACTATTGCAAATTTTTCGATCGTGTGTTATCGATGAACTATATAACCCTGGACAACTAACAGCAATATTATGTTGTTATTTGATTCAAAGGACGAACTCATATTATATTATACATATTATNCGGTAACATCACCTGGAAGATTCCTTCGACCGAGTTACCTGCTCACTGGGTACATGCCGAGTATCCATGTAAGTATCAAAAATATTCTTTCAACTACTACTCTGCTTACCATGCTAAAATCATAGTATATAAAAGATCAATGCTTCAGTGATATTACAGGTACACGATTGAATTAAATAAAATATGCATATTAACGAATATCAATTACGATAGCAAGTAATAAATACAATTCTGTATAAAGAGTGGGCTGGAATTCGTAGTACAATAAATTCTCTCAAATTGTCCCCCAGCTTATGAACAAATATGGACAATTTCGGAAGAGAAGATACGATTATTCGAGCCTCACGACTCGTTTTTGTAGTCGCTATATGTCGACAAGTATAAAAACGAGCCGCTAGGATCGAATGACCTTTCGACCATTCGACCATTCGATCACCTCCTCTTCCAAAATTGTCCATTTTTGTCTAGAAGCTGAGGGACAATTTGGACGAATTTACTGTATAACTGAGGAGAGCGAGAAAAATAAGAAACAAATTTGATGTAACATTTTTTAATCCAGGCCTCTGTTTTTGAGAAAATCGACTCCGTTCGAGATAATGATTACAAACATTGACGCTGATGGAAACATACCGTTTTCTTCATAATTCGCAATAATTAATATTTATGAACACTATCGCGAACGGTGGCAACTGCGGTACTAGACGAATAGACAACTAAATCCCTTTACGAAGATGAACAAACTTTCTCAATTTTCTCGAAAACGAAGCCTCGGATAAAAAAATGTTATACCAAATTTGTTTCTTATTTTTTCATGTAGAATCTGCTTGGTTGTACTACGAATTCCGGCCCACCCTGTATAATCACTAGACTGTGGATTTGTGTGCACTTATAGCGTGCGCAAGTTTAGAAAGTGCAAGGAAATTACACATACACAAATACACGTTAACAGGCAATAATTGCGATGCTATTTTATGTTCTCCAAAAGAAATCTTTCAGACATGAAATTATTCCCTCCTACAAACTGTACATTTTAGTACATGCTCTAAAATGATAAATAACGATAACACTATTTTAGTAGCTGATGTATACGTTCGTGCAACTATTGCAAATTTTTCGATCGTGTGTTATCGATGAACTATATAACCCTGGACAACTAACAGCAATATTATGTTGTTATTTGATTCAAAGGACGAACTCATATTATATTATACATATTATACGGATACATATTATAATATAGATATTATTTAAATCACACGTGCAATGGCAAAGAAAAGCAAACCGATATTGTAAATAGTAATCTACGCGATATTTTTGTTTTATAGATGAAGGAGTGTATAATACCTATGTGTTGGACTCGGATTACAAGTCGTGGTCATTGCTGATGCATTGCGCGGAGCAAAGTAAAACTCCTCGATATTTATCAAGCTTCATCATGAGCAGGCGGCCAAGCCTCGAAATCAACGTTATATCCTACCTCCGCGAGAAGTTGCCCAGGTTCGTTGCAAACACGATCCCAATTTTGTTGAATACAATTGCTGCGGATTATACGATTTTATTTTTCATGCAAAGGTACGATATCGATTTGGAGTACATGTTTCCGATGGACCAGCAAGAGTGCAACAAAACCAGCACTTCGGAAATGGATTTACTGATTCCGCCATCGTTGATATCCAGAAAACACTTCACCGAGCGAAAGCATCCACTCAAAAAGAAACATCGACGCTTTTGAGCGTAATGATTATTTGGAGTAGGCGCAATATTGCACGAGCATTGTTTGTACCGTTACAAACCTTTCGCTGCCGTTGTAATGCTGCGGAAATGGGCAAATTTATTATCCGATCGAACAGTTCCAAGTGACGTGTAAACGACGAGAACTTGACTGCTAATATTTTATTCACCAAATATGAAAATTTCAATGATTAAATATTTCGAAACAAGTGCACACGAAGATGAAGCCTTTAGTTCATTGTTTCCATTGAGCGAAAGTCATTTACACTGAATTTTGCAATGAAAACAGTCATTTCCAGAAGATTTCCGAATTGCATTCATAAATATCAGTTATCTTGATAATAAAGAACTGAAAATCACTGCCGAGAAAGAAAATTGTTTACGTCAAATACATGGTAATTGACCGTTGAAAGCCAAGAAATTATATTACTGATGACGATGCATTATGTTCGTAATGTAATATGAATATTTAATCGAATGTATAGAGGATATTGTAATAACACGGCATACCGAATTACGTGACCCATTTGAAGATTTGGATTTAATTATCTCCTAAAATATATAGATTGCTTCTAAAAATGTTCTAACTGAAACTTACTCTATTTCGAGGGGGGCATCTTATAATAGTCACATATTCTCTCTACGTGGATGTACTTTAGAGATTTGAAGGTGATCTTGACTTTTTTTAATGGAACTGTATGTTTTCTTCTAGATAAGCTTATAGTCTATTCCAAGACGAATTCATTGACTCGTAATACTTTGGTTCTGCAAGGTCGTCAAGTTTATTTAATGCCATTCAAAACTTATCTTCGTTAAACGTCCCCAAAATTTATCTAGTCCGAATACTTCTTTGAGTTGTACGTAAATATCACGCGAACTCGTAATGATAATAAGTTTTGTTACCAAATAAGTAAGGTTGATAAAGGCAAAGTGTTATAGATCAATGAATTCGCCTTGGAATGGACTGCAAACTTATTTAGAAAAAAAAACATACAGTTTCATTTAAACAAATCAAGATCACCTTCAAATCTCAGAGGCATATACATTTAGAAAGCATTTATGACTATCATAAGAAGTACCCATCAAAACAAGGTAAGTTTGATTCAGAACATTTTTAAAAGCAATCTATAGTTTAGAAGATAATTAAGTTCAAATCTTGAAATAGGTCACCCTGTATATTCATAACATTCAAATTTTAAGAATTGATCGAGTACTAGTCCATTAATATGCAAAGTACCTAGAGTTCTTGAGCTTCAAAAGTATGATTCAAGCTTGTGCTTATGGTATCAACTTTATGTGTATAAACCGGCTTGTTCCTTAACATGTGATCAATTTAGGTACTTACATATAAGAATGTATACATACGATATAAGATATACATATATTGTACTTTATATGGCTGTAAAATATGAAACTACAAATAAAGTAGTAAATGTAATAATAATATAATACTGATATGATTTTATCATATACATAAACATGTAATCGTATAACACTAATTGATTATAGAAATATTATATTATAATGAATATTATATAAGATTTTGTAAATGGATTTAAAGTAATTTTATGAACTGTAGTTGGGAAAATATTACTTCGACTATATTTCTTCTGTAAAATCACTACTAAAATTCATCACATATTGATACTAATCTTAACATATTAGGCGATAATACTTTCATGTCTCTAATACCAGAAGACAATTAAAATAAGGAAATTTCAAACAGTTTCCATAGATTTCTGTTCTTAAAACAAGTGTAAACGAGAATAAATTGTTCTTCGAGATAAATAAAAAAAATACAAAAATAGAATTTGAAAGGAAGTGAGTTCATGACTCCGATCCATAGTCACTCCTCTTTTACTCACTTTCTTTCTTTTTGCGGCCGAAAATTTCATCATTTACTAGGTGAGTGAATATACAATCAAAATTATATCGTTTCGGCTTTGTTTTAATCAGGAAAATCTCACAAATACGTTGGTAACGATTTTGTAAAAAAACAACTAAAATTAATAAAGTTTCATTATTACATTAGTTTGTCTCACGATATTAGTCCCAGACACCAGATGGTCTTACCTTGTAGCGCGAAGTGACGTCACTGATGAGCAAAGTAGGGGTAGGAGTTTCCTCCTACCAGCTTTTCAGCTGGTGGTGACGAGTAATGGCGAAGAGGTCCGATAGCAACCGAACCACACGGCGTCATTTTTCAACAAGCATTCGGAGCTGTTCAGAGCATTTACATACGTAACATAATTTACTATACATATAGTATTTTTGTGTCAGAGCTGTGAAATTTATAACTAATATTTATACAATTATTGAAATTGCACTATGACGAATCAAATATTTAAGATAAATGTTTAATACTTTTGGTTATATTAAAGATTTGTTAAATTAATCTTTTCAGATAAGGAATATTTGTAAATTAATTATCGATGGTTTTCATCGATAATTAAAAATCATTTTCATCATTTCCATCTCTTGTCTAAAATCGCTCGCATTCGCATTGCGCGATCCCCCAGAATACAAACTGTTCTTCGGCGTACTCCGAAGAACAGAATTACGCGTGCACAGGTTCGATCTGTGTCAGGTTTTTCGATAACACGTGCACACGTGTTCGCACAGTCCGACTCTGAAATTTGAAATTCGACTAGAGGGACGCAACAGGTGTTTAACTCGGGAACACGCGCAACCAGAGTTCTGGATTATCTTATTTACAATTTACTACTGAAGTATTCAATTTTATAAAAATATATGTTGTTATATTCACATTTTATCCTTCTATTAGTAAATATTGATACTGAGTTTACTACCACATCAAACATTCTGATGTGGACAATGTATAAGATTTTGCACAGTATTATACTTGCAACTGATGTTAAAAAAAAGATCTGCTGCCATCTAAACAGGGAAACCAATAATTGATTATTTCAGTTCAGTAATATGGAGTCTTTCAACAGCAAGTATACTTTTACTTTTATTTTAGTAAATAATATGCATGTACATATCAAAGCATTATACTCTGCAATACACATATATTCTACACAACAATAATAAATACTGTAGTTTCTCCTTAACATAACTCTGTTGGGGGTTTCTTGTCTAGTATGTTCGTGAATTGAGTATAAAGTTTTGTGCGTATGTTTTTATTTTTACTATACAGAATTTGCATCATCAGCAAGAGCAAACGTCAGAGTCAGGGTAAGCGCAAGAATGAACTTCCCTGTTATTCTTCCTTTGCTTTTATACTGGGGTTTCGTTCGTACTGTAATGCAATTAGCTTCTCTCATTTTTTCTGTCAACCAATCTACTTTACACTTAGTGTTTCAAAAAATTACAGCCTGTGTTATTGTCAGTATATCATACAAATCACATAACGTATCAAATTCCATTCTTCTCTTTCTACAGCAACAAAAAACTGCTTTATTCGTTCCAATGTCAATTCATCACTGCAATTAATCATGAATTATTACTATTGAAACAATTATTCAAAGTTGAATCTATAAAGCTGTATCTTACCGTTTAACTAAAATACGAACTGGATCTGTCATAAATTTACTAGTCATTTCAAGAATTTCATGTGGTAATGTAGCAGATACTAATACTACTTGTGTCGCAGGAGGCAAATATCTGTATACATCATAAATTTGTTCCTTAAAACCTTTGTTTAACATTTCATCTGATTCATCAAGGACTAGCATCTTAATTGCCCTTGTCCTGAGAACTCTTCTTTTTATCATATCTGAAAATAACATAGAATTATCCATAAATCTATTTTATGTTTGTAACATCAGTTTTGTTAACTATGTTATGTATTTACCAAATACTCTGCCAGGTGTTCCGGATACAACATGTTGTCCATAATCTAATTTTCTAATGTCTTCTCCTAGATTGGTACCTCCAATACATGCATGACACTGTACNAATGAACTTCCCTGTTATTCTTCCTTTGCTTTTATACTGGGGTTTCGTTCGTACTGTAATGCAATTAGCTTCTCTCATTTTTTCTGTCAACCAATCTACTTTACACTTAGTGTTTCAAAAAATTACAGCCTGTGTTATTGTCAGTATATCATACAAATCACATAACGTATCAAATTCCATTCTTCTCTTTCTACAGCAACAAAAAACTGCTTTATTCGTTCCAATGTCAATTCATCACTGCAATTAATCATGAATTATTACTATTGAAACAATTATTTAAAGTTGAATCTATAAAACTGTATCTTACCGTTTAACTAAAATACGAACTGGATCTGTCATAAATTTACTGATCATTTCAAGAATTTCATTCATCAAGGATTAGCATCTTAATTGCTCTTGTCCTGAGAACTCTTCTTCATATCATATCTAAAAATATAGAATTATTCATAAATCTATTTCATGTTTGTAACATCAGCTTTATTAACTATGTTACGTATTTACCAAATACTCTGCCAGGTGTTCCAGATACAACATGTTATCCATAATATAATTTTCTAATGTCTTCTCCTAAATTAGTATCTCCAGTACATGCATGACACTGTACGATCATAAAATTGTTCAATGCCATGATAACCTTTTGTATTTGTATTGCCAATTCTCTCGTAGGAGAAAGAACCAAGACTGTGTTTCTCTAACTTGTGTATCTAAAGACTGCAGTATAGCAATCAAGAATGTTGCTGTCTTTCCTGTACCAAATTGGGCTTGTGCAATTACGTCTCGTCCTTCCATTATGGGTTGATGGACCTTCGCTGAATAGCAGGTTTCTCGAAACCTGTAATAAAAATATTATGTCTATAGGAATTACGAGTAAATGAGAATAATATTAACGAAATGAGATTAATAGTGATTATCAATGACGTCTTCATATGCGTGTAAATTAAAGTAATCAAACAGAAACTAGGCAAATAGGTTATGTTTACATGCTACACACAAAAATATAGAATTATTATAATACCGTAGGCGTAGGTTCCTCGTAATAATTCATCTTTGAGTCCCATATTATCAAATGTGGGAATGACCTCCACATCTTCACTAGTTTCAAACTCAACATTTAATAAGTCTTCTGCTTGCGCGACGGGACGTGATTTTACTTCCGCCGTTTTTATTTATTTGTATGTACATTCATACCTCACCATAGTAAGCATTATTATCCCCACCATTTTAGTGCGCATCAAGGCTCGGGCAGTTGCTTTAGAAGGAGAACGGGAGATGATCGAGAGAAACAGAACGAAACCAGCCGACTTTATGTGTGTGTCCACACGGACGAGAAATCTAGGCCGTCTCACTTTACCGTGCTTGCGATCTCACTCTTTTTGCGCATCCATACGTCTGGTGCTTCGTCTGAGACACATGGCGCGATATTCGACCTGTACTTTTTGCCCAGTAGAATTCTCGACCACACAGTCCAGCATATTTACGAACGTCTTAAAACGACGACCATTTCTGCAATTATTAAAATTTTCCAAAACCCGGAAGCTACATTTTAAATATTACTTTATAGTTTATGAATTTACAAAATTTTGTTAATTCAGCCATCCCAATACTTGTCAACTGTGATGGGCAGCAATCAGTGCTCTACTCTACGAGAAGAATTTTCAAAAGCAAGAATAATTTCACAATTTTATATAATTTTTACTATTAAAATCATATTCCCTTAGAAAAACTACACACTTAATTCGTCAGGGTTACGTCAAACTTACGTCAAAATTATGTCAGGGTTATGTCAACGTTATGTCAAAGTTATGTCAGGATTATGTCAAAGTTATGTCAATGTTGTGTTAGGGTTATGTAAAGGTTATATCAACATTATTTTCAACTTCAACAGTATTTTCTTATGTCCCTAATTTTGTTTCTAACTTCGATAATTATGAAGTTATTCGTTGCTTGCGAAACTTCTCGTACAGTAAAATAGTTAACAAGTACTGGGATGGCTGTATTAACAAAATTTTGCGGATGCAGAAAGTATTATAGAAACCATTACCTAAAATGTAGCTTACGGGTTTCGAATATCGCGCCACATGTTTCAGATGTAGCACCAGGCATATGGATGCGCGAAAAGAGTGAGAATGCAAGCACGGTAAAGTGAGACAAGCTACATTGGTCGTCGGTGTAACTTGTTTTGCTGCGGCGTTCTGATATCGTGCTCTCTTGCTCACTCGCCACTTTCTCTCTTTGTCTAGAACCGTGAGGGCAGCACTATTTAGCTGTGAAGCATCAACCAATGAAATTTCTCTACCTGCTTCATGCTGGTTGAATTTTGCCAATGTAACCAAAGAATAACGGTGAGAATACGATATGTACTTCCAGCAAGTTAGGGTACTTTACACAAAAATTAAAACACTTGTTTACACTGTCAAATAAAACTTGTTACAACTATCCTGTAGAATCATTAANAAAAGAGTGAGAATGCAAGCACGGTAAAGTGAGACAAGCTACATTGGTCGTCGGTGTAACTTGTTTTGCTGCGGCGTTCTGATATCGTGCTCTCTTGCTCACTCGCCACTTTCTCTCTTTGTCTAGAACCGTGAGGGCAGCACTATTTAGCTGTGAAGCATCAACCAATGAAATTTCTCTACCTGCTTCATGCTGGTTGAATTTTGCCAATGTAACCAAAGAATAACGGTGAGAATACGATATGTACTTCCAGCAAGTTAGGGTACTTTACACAAAAATTAAAACACTTGTTTACACTGTCAAATAAAACTTGTTACAACTATCCTGTAGAATCATTAAAATTTGATTATACAGCTCAGATAGCAGATTAGATCTATGGTTCACATTTCGTGTGTCGCATGACTAAAATGTAGTCCGAATTATGTTCAGAGCAGTAATTTCTTTTTCAAACGTTATATAATTTCGATGAAAATTCATACGTATTGCTTCAAACTAATTGGATACATTCTTGGAAAATTAATTAATAAACATACTGTGCTTGGAATTCTAATACTTAATAACTTTCCTTTAAAAAATTTCAAAAGATTGACTCATAATCAAATCATCAAACTGGGGATATCCTCTTAAAATAGATTAAATGGTGAAATAATGCCAAAATATGGATTGTATATGCACAAAGTTTATTTGCATTGTCATGTATTCTTACATCTGCGAATTTTACTCTTCATTTTCAATCATTTCCGGTCGGCTTTTTGCGAGACTAATTTAAAACGCTTATGCTTCGGTTTTACTAATTAATCGCGCTACGACGATCGTGCAACTTATAAATAATCGTTAACACACAATAGACTCAGTGACATTTATTAGAGAAACATTCAATCTTAAAACGTAATCTGACAGCAACGTCGCCGCGAATAAAATTTAACCGATCAAATAGCAACAGGTGATTAATGACTAAAGTATAATTGTAACGACAGAACACGCCTACGCGCGGTCATGCATGATTTTGCGATCGCGAGATATATTAATTGCCGTAAACCGTGAGTAAAGACTGCGATAATTCATGGCCGAGTAATTAACTCGTAACTTTTGCATCGATATGCGGCGCATTAACCAATACAACTTATATAATTATAAAGTCTATTACAAATTACATCTCAATTTATACGCGCTAATTATAAAAATTGCTCAATTTAACGGAGGAAGTAATTATCAACAGTATCATAAATTTTTTTGATTATTAATTAGAAGAATTTTTGAAGGATTTCGTGAAATAGTGAATCGTCTTATAATCCGTACACGTTTCTTGAGGTGAAAATTTACACATCTGGTCATTTTTAAAATTTTTAGATTCTAAAACTTTCGATTTGTCTCACAAGTTGTACGTCCAAAATCTGACATTATAAATAACACATAATTTATTGATTTAAAAAGTAAAGCAAATATGTATCAGAATTAAACCGAGGGTATCTGAAATAAGCAAGTTTTTCTACCTTGATAATTACCAATTTACAATCTGCTAAAAAATTCAGTCATTCCGTATTTTGTATTTGACGTTACAAGTGTAAACAAAAATTTAAATTTCGCGTTTAGTATCTGATAGATGGTTGACTTGTATTAATTTATTACACAATAAATTATGTGCCAAATTCGAAATTTTTTGAACTCCATTAAATTGAACCATTTTGAGTGAATGGCGTTTTTAGTTCTCAATAATTTAAGAAGAAACATTTAACAGGAATTAAAATTACAGAGAATAAAACTATTATGTAAACCTTACAAACCGACGAAACATTAAATTTCGCTAATTTTCTAAAGCTAAATCGAATTTACAGAGTTGATTCGAACACACTGCATACGTTACTTTCAATACAATGTTCATAACAAACAATTTTTTTGGGTGATATAAGAATCGTAGTAAAATGATTAATGAAAGCTAACGATTGGATAACCAACATTTACTCTGTTATAGCGCATTTGTATATAATATATATTTGTTGTACATCGCGGCAAAACGAAAATTTTGTACAGATCAATAATACCGTATATTGAAAATTTGAATGCGAAATTTGAGAGTTACAACCGATTTTATAGTTGTATCTCACGCAATATAACGAACACTTTTAGTAGAACATCAAGCATTTCGTTAATTTTGCATTGTTTTGCAAGAAATTAAATTATTAAATTGTTTAATTTTTAAAAGTCGAATGCCGATGTTGTGTCGAGAAACTTCTGTAGATTTCGATAAGCTTCCAATTTTTTACACACGTTAGAATAACAAATTTTTCAGTAGAAATTAATTAGTGATAAATAAGTTCTCTTTGAAAGGGATATGTAATTCCTGTTTAATTTCCTTTTATAAATTATATTTTAAAAATATGGATTTTTTTTTCTCAGATAAGCGATCGCAAACTGTTAAACAATATTAATTAATATATCGAAAGCGTCAATTGATCCACATATTATTGTCCGTAACTTGCAGGATTTTTCTACTTCAGGTCACTGGATAATGCCGCAATTTGATCATGATCACAAAATAAGAGCACAAAGTTCTGTTCTTTTAGAGTAAAAGCTGGAACCACCAGAAAGCTGGAACTATAAAAATGTTTTTGTAAAAAATTGTTGAATATATTGACTCGCTAGTGTTTCTAGGATCTCGTAATCTTTATATTATTTTTAGATATTTTAATTATGCTACTGCATAAACTAAATACTTTTGCTATTCCAAATTGACTATTACATTTCGTAAATTGTCGTTTCCTACAGGTTACAGCATATATAAAAGGGCGAAATAATGTCATAATCGTTTTTTACCTACTTTCGAAGTTCGATGTATGAGAGTTTAACTTAAAAAAAATAGACAGTACTTGTTGATAGATCTAGCAGTTCAATCAAAGAAATATGAGAGCGACTTTCTCGTTAACCCTGAAATAAAACAATCCCATAATGTTGTAATCAACGTTTCGATCTAGACAAAAGTTCTGCGAACGCGAAATCTTCGTTGTTAGACTTTGCACAATTACACGGACCAGCCATGGTTCCGCGCTATAACTAATAATTTAAATCCTATATATGTACTCAGAACAGCAACTATGAACACAACGAACCTAGAGAACACCGCGGTAATAGATACATGCTAAATTGTGGCAACGAGAAACTAAAAATTCCTGTAGGTTCTCACGCCATATACACTCGCTAATGGTGTCTCCACAGGAATTTTTATATGTATATATAATAGGCAGCAAAAGTATTCATACAAAAGCAAAATAATTCACACAATGCAATTCATGTGGTCTATCTCTTTCGCATAATTTTTCTTATCGTACATTTCTGTTTGAATTCATTATACAGAGTGAAGCGTGTAATTAGAGCCACTTTGTTTACTATACAAGTAACAATTTCCGTAAAACGTCATTCAGATCGGAGTCTAATGATTTCCAGGAACCATAATTTCATGCGACTTTGTCTTAAAACGCAGATAAAATGTAGTTTTAAATGTTACTTAAATATACTGACATGTTTATACCGTGCTATGCATGACTGCGTTTAAGAAAGTCTATGGAAGGAAATATTTGTACAGCTTTTATCTTCGAAGCACAAAAAACTTCCAAAATTAAAAATTTGACTGTCCCTACAAAATAAAGTTAAAAATTGGTAAGTAGTGCAAGTTTTGCACACGCAAATTTCAAATCACTTTACTTCAGGATTATGTCCCAAATTTGTTGACAAGAATTCATGTGCAAATCCATAGCAAATGAGCGATAGTTTTCTTGAAAGACAGATCTTGTAACTAAATTGGCAGTCTTTGCTTACAAAACGTACAACTTTGGCTAATTGTGTTAATAATGTCATTTTTAATGTGTGAGTTCTAAAAATATATAAATATTTCTGATGGGCATTGTGTACTCAATTAATTAGAATCATAGATACTTAAACGTTCTTTCGAGAACTCGTAGTCGAGCATGTTAAAAAAATTCATTAAATGTTTGCACAATGTGTCGTTTGGTATTTCAGAACACTTTTCAAAGCATAATCATTTAGACTTGATAAAACCATATAAACCTTGAAACATTCATATAAAAATACTGTTTACATGTCGTATCTGGAGACATAAATGAAATTCTTCTTTGGTATCGGTATAAAATATTAAAATCACGGTAGTTATATCGTAACGATCGAGGGAATTAATAACATAGATATTAGAACAATTATTCACGCAGTTATGTTAAACTGGTTGCAACACTTTTCGTCTAAGACCAACATTTGGCGTGCCTTAAAATAAATATATTCAAGTAATAAAATTTGTAAATGGTAAAGTTCACTTTATAGAAGAACTGATATCAAAACGATCATCGAAAACTCCACGCAAGTTAATAACAATCAAACAACCCTTTCGCCTAAACAAACATGCTGAATCGCAATGAAACATTAAATGTTAACTAATTCTTTAGCCTCCTATCGCTCATTTATCACGAAATGGAGGCAAAGATTTATTGAATCAGAATTGGGCTGTATTTAATGTTACTAGTGATTAATGATTGCAAGTGTAATATTGGATTATTAGTCACAGTTATGGATTAAATTATTCATTCAATTGATGCGCAATCGCCATTGACTACAAAGAATATTTAATAATTAATCAAATCAAAAGATCAATTCAGTTGCAATGGGCGATTATTAAAATTGTGGAGAATTATTTGATTGTAATTACTCAAACTGTTACTCATAGTCAAGAAAAATTCATCTAAATTCATTTAAAATATTTGATTATCAATTTCAGTTAACAATTAAGTTTTCAAATCAACTGATATTAATAGAATTACTAATAGAATTATTAAAATACTTTTCACAAAAAAAATGTATGAACTACCAAATAAATGTGTGTTGCAGCACCATTATAAATAAACACATTTCTATTGAATTTTCTTGTTGTTATTTTACCATTAGAGACGTTATCAAAACAATAAATCTGATGAAATAATCATGACGTGTGTAATTTATTAACAAAATTTATACCAGTTCTCATCATGCAACAGATCGCACGGCCTACCCTACTAAATCATTTTTATAAAAACAGTAAGTTTCCACTGTTCGTTAATTAGTGGAAATTGGTCAAGGAACTGCATTAACATTATTTGTAGTTCTATTATAATTGATAAATAATTGACATCTAGTTTTATCTATTGATTAAATTAACCACAATTTTTGACGATTCACTAGTAAATGAAGCAAATTCAAACGTTTCTTCAGCTGGTGCCCAATTCTGAATCTAATCATGTTCCAGTGGAATTAAGCACTTTCAAATATTTACTAGTCACTGTTTACACATTTCCTTATGAAAATATTTGGATCGATTCGTTGAAAAGCTCTGGTAGTTTGTTAATAAATTATATTAAGTGTTTCACATTCATTCTTAACCGCTAAACCTGCTGATATTTATGCGATTATAATGTTTGAGAATACGCCAAGTGTGCCAAAACAAATAATTCAATGAAACTTTAATAAAATTTTCATTTCAGTTTCGAATTTACACAGATTCTTTTTACTTAAAAAAATAATGTAGAAAAAACTATATACTCGCATAAAAATCTGCAGTCCGTTAACTGGTCTACGTAACTGATGTCGAAAATGAATCAAAGCTCGTTAGAAGAACGCAATAGAAAAGATGCTGGTTTCCGATTGGACTTCCCGTTGGTTTTTCTGCTTCGTGCCATTTTGGCATCTTAATCTAATTCAGTCAAAGATACAGGCAAGAACTCGCAAAATGCAAGTGCCAATCCTCACGCAAGTTCTTTGTCCCTGTGTCGCGCATTCCTTCCTCCAGTTATTTCGATTGTCTTGCCGTTCTTTCTTCCCCGATTTCGACGTCATACAACCTCGATTTTCGCAAGCCTTAGCAGTGATCCTAGGAGCACTCGACAACCTGGACAGTGGTCCAGCAACGGGACTTCTCAGCTGTGGAGAAATAATGTCAGTTTTAAAGAACTTCATTTCTTCGGGATTCTCTTCTAACGGTAACAAAATCGAGTAATTTCTGTATATATATAAAATTGTTTTTTTCGAAAATATACAATGTAGCATTTGTTACAAATTTTTTAAGTTTTCTCAAGTCGTAAATCTGAGAATTACTTAAAAAATTGTTCAATAGCGATAGTAGTTTCAGCTATAATTCAAAAAATTATTTTTAGAAAAAGTTCTAATTGTTATAATTTTAAAAAAAATGGTGTGGCTCGAAGTTAATAATAAGTATAAGTAAGATAATAATATACACAAGATATTCGTGCAGCTCAAGTTAGTTGAGATACACCATGTAGTTTTATGTACTTCACTATTAACAACCTCCATTGATCTATTTCACTATATCATATTGGTTTGTTTTAGTATACGCACACAACACGAATTTCTATACACGCGAAAAATTTTGCGACCACCGTTTTCATTTAACAAGATTTCTCGAACAACTAGCTATATAATAAAATTAAAATATCGAAAAACAAACAGCTAATTCCACTGAAACGAAAACGTTAGTACGTAACTTTGAACGATTTAAGTAGTGATTAACGATCAACAACTACATAATTATAATTAATTTTTCCGTTGAATTTATAACGCATAAACTGTTTTTTACTACATAATTATAATTAATTTTTTCGTTGAATTTATAACGAATAAACTGTTTCGTTTATGCGCGATAGTATTTCAGAGTATTTTTCAATCTCGCAATAAATTGCTACAATAAAGAGCCGTATAATATCAACATATTGGCTTTTGTTGATTGATTACCGCGAAACATGAAGTCGTTACACACGCGATTGTTGACAGTCCCATCTTTTGGCGTCTCTTTAAGCGCACGCAGGATTTCTGCAACTCGTGCGTCTTATTTGTTATTGTGCACTTTGTACAATGTGCGGACATTTATGCCAATACAATTTGTGAATTAACATTACAGTTCCAACATTGTTAAATGTTAGAAATCATAAAAAAGATTTAATTGGATGTTAGCGCGCCACACGACAGATTATCGACGACTGAAAATACCTGTACTTCGATAACCGTATTTCGTAAAAATTGTATTTGAACAAGCTGTACGATTAGTACTCCAAAGGACAGATAAAAGAGCAGTGCCTGATAGTAATCAGGAAACCTATTTTCAGCAATAAGATATCGATTTTCGATAAGGAAGGTGTGGTTTATATCCAACATATTTGGTACGAACCGACGTCGAATATACGTACATACGTGTATTATATTATACATATATTATTATAATATTATATATATTGCTATAATAACTTTCTTTATAACAAAAGGATACCAATGATCACCTTTTACCATAAGTATCATGCTTGAACGTTACAGTGGTCTTCACAGTGTATCATTAACACGTTCCGTATCGAGCTTTTTTTACTCGAATCTTCACACTTTGATATTTTACTAAAACTTGATGTATTACGTGCAATTATTAATTCTCGTACACATAACAACGTAACAAAAACTTATCAACGCCCATTCTTGCGGTGGAAATTGATTCTTCGGTTCTAAATTTCTTGTAAACAATTTGTTCAGTTCACTAAGTAAACATGCGAGCGTGTACCATCGATGGTACACGTGGCACGGAACGTGTTAATGATACACTGTGAAGACCAAGATGTGTATAAGAGACAGAAGTAAACATGCAAGCGTGTACCATCGATGGTACACGTGGCACGGAACGTGTTAATGATACACTGTGAAGACCAAGATGTGTATAAGAGACAGAAGTAAACATGCAAGCGTGTACCATCGATGGTACACGTGGCACGGAACGTGTTAATGATACACTGTGAAGACCAAGATGTGTATAAGAGACAGAAGTAAACATGCAAGCGTGTACCATCGATGGTACACGTGGCACGGAACGTGTTAATGATACACTGTGAAGACCAAGATGTGTATAAGAGACAGAAGTAAACATGCAAGCGTGTACCATCGATGGTACACGTGGCACGGAACGTGTTAATGATACACTGTGAAGACCAAGATGTGTATAAGAGACAGAAGTAAACATGCAAGCGTGTACCATCGATGGTACACGTGGCACGGAACGTGTTAATGATACACTGTGAAGACCAAGATGTGTATAAGAGACAGAAGTAAACATGCAAGCGTGTACCATCGATGGTACACGTGGCACGGAACGTGTTAATGATACACTGTGAAGACCAAGATGTGTATAAGAGACAGAAGTAAACATGCAAGCGTGTACCATCGATGGTACACGTGGCACGGAACGTGTTAATGATACACTGTGAAGACCAAGATGTGTATAAGAGACAGAAGTAAACATGCAAGCGTGTACCATCGATGGTACACGTGGCACGGAACGTGTTAATGATACACTGTGAAGACCAAGATGTGTATAAGAGACAGAAGTAAACATGCAAGCGTGTACCATCGATGGTACACGTGGCACGGAACGTGTTAATGATACACTGTGAAGACCAAGATGTGTATAAGAGACAGAAGTAAACATGCAAGCGTGTACCATCGATGGTACACGTGGCACGGAACGTGTTAATGATACACTGTGAAGACCAAGATGTGTATAAGAGACAGAAGTAAACATGCAAGCGTGTACCATCGATGGTACACGTGGCACGGAACGTGTTAAAAAGAAACATGTGGGGATGTTTTTTGAATTACCTTTTACAATGACTATATAGAACTTATTTATAATTTATATTATAAATACTTACCTCTTCTCCCTCTTGAATTTGAGTATGCCCAAGTATCCTGGCAACGATAGCGGCGGATTCCTCGCTGGAGAGTATTCCACTGGTCATAGGACCCTCGATGAACTCTCTGTCGGTCATTAAAGGATACCGGACACTGTACCATACCTTCTCAGGCAACGTGGACCTTCTGTTGCTGGCCGAAGGTTCGACACCGTGCCTGCGACATTCGGACGCTGCCCACCTATCCAGCGCGTAGAACAGGATGGATTCGTTGGACAATTTGAGGGTGTTGCGGCATGCTAATTGTTCGACCTCCGTCGCGTTCAACTCTTCAAAGTATTCCTGGCTGAACACGATCTCCGAATGCGAATCGATTTCGTCCAAACAGGCGTAAAGGAGTCGGGTGCAAACTTCGGCTAGAATTCAAATATAGTTCTAATGTATATTGTTCTTGTAGTAATCATGGTAAATATTCACTATAAGGGTCACAGTTCTGAATTTGATGGCCTTGAAATACGTTGTCAAGGACATCATTTTGAACAACTTTTTCGTAAAGGTGCAGAGAAAAGAGAAAATGGTTAAGAGGGCCTTGGGAAAGAAAAAGTTGGCAATGTTAACAGACCTGGATACATAAGAAATGACAGATGTAATTTGAAATATTACTTCATGTTATTTTATTTGATAATCATGAAGTCTAGACAAATCGTATAGTCACCCAAAAGTAGCCAGTGCAAAGAACAATTGAATAACAGTTTTTAAATATTATTTTAACACGTATTCTGCTACTTAGTTTTAGACATCACTTAGACATCACTTGAAATATTATTTTAGACAACATGTCATTTTATTTTAGGGATTATTTAAAACAATTATTTAACACAACTGTGAAATACTTCTTGGAAATTATATGGTGATCTAATTATCAGCTCTGAGTCTGGTTTATGCTAACATCCTCATTGACATTTCTGCAAGATAAAAGAGTCGATATAACTGCGTAAAATGATTATTCGATAATAAGAAACATTTTTCTGAAGAATAACACCCCCCTCATCTTTTGCTCCAGTGGAACGATTATTTTCTTTCGCTACAGTATCAGATAGACCTAGACAAAAATCTCTTAACACTATGCTACCCTTATACTATGCTGGATTTTTTAATTTTTAAATTGTTGGAAATTATGGAAGCTCTCTCTTAAGAAACAATTAAATAATTTCCATTATTCAAACTTAAGTCTAAATAAATTAAATCTTGTCATTCTTATAAGGCGACACATGCTAGTCACTTTCAGAGCTCAGCTGGTTTAGTGATAAGGATGAACTTTTTGTAGAAAGAGTTCTTCCTGAACATTTCTTAAAATAAAATCTTTTTGTTGCATATTATTCTGGGAATTATTTCTTTAGTCATATTTGAAATAAAGGCGTAACGAAACAGTTAATTATTTGAAATTCCTATTAATTCGAATGAACAGATATTATCTTTATTTTCAAATGACAACATTGAAAATAACGATTCGAAATGGATTATTTCAAATGTTATTTCTGATTTTCATTTCAAATAATATTGACCCGGGTTCGGGTGTAACAATACCTATTTCTCCAGCATCGTCTCCAGGGGCCGGCGGTGCCGTAGGTAAATTAAACGATCTAGAGGTGTCTGATGGTATTGGACTTGCGTAGAGGCTGAGTCCTTGATAGATCTCGAGCACGGTAGTCGGATTTAAATTCGCTTCGAGATACTCGACAGCAAGGTACGCCAACTCCGGACACAGATATTGGTGAGCTGCGTCGAGGGTAGCTCTAGCCGTTGACACGGATTGGAAATTTATCGGCTTGCCGAGAAGATATCTGCACAGAACGTCGACCGACTTCAAGCTAACGCGAATTAACACGCTTGATAACTTCAATGTTTAACCAAATCTTTTATCTCTGTTAAAATAGTTTCAATTTCTTACGTGGCAACTATTTTAAAATATAAGAAATGTTCCCCTTGACATGTGTTTAGGTAGCTTACAGAATTTCTCTGTAATACTAGTTATTTATTGTACATGCGCACGAGCCTTAGAGTACAGTTTTTCGTAATCTGCATTTGCAACATTTCTTTTTGGTACTCTGAGATCTAGCCAATTTTCGCTTGCAAGAAATCACCAATGAATACGTAAGCAGAAAAATAATCCAAAAATATGCGATTGTGCCGGATATTACGAGCGTCCATAAACACGCGGCCGACATGATTGTGAACATCGATGGTAAACGTGAAGTTCCTTGTGCTTCTCGAGGACGAAAAGATAGCAGATTTTTAAATATTTGTAGTTTTATAATATTCGTGAAATATTAATTTACTTATTATTAATATTAATTTATTTATACTTTATATTATTAAATATAAAGTATACATTACCTGTTTATGATATTGTCTACACAGTTTTACTCAATTATGGCATTTCCATAGTAAAAGATCAGAAAATATTTATGTCAGTAAAGATTAAACGATATTTCTACAATAAAGAATTCTTTGATCAACGAAATAATTTCCTTTTTATCAATTTGCAATAGAGATCCGCTGTCTAATTATTATGAAACGCTATATGTATCGAATCGTTCGTAATCTAATCGTTTTAAAACAATTTTAATTCAACTTGAATAATTGAAAAGATATATGTTTTTAATAGCTCAATATTAACAGTTGCAATAAGCATTCACTTTCGACAATAATTTTCTGCACGTTAAAAATAGTATGTGATTGTTACATATGACCTTACACAGAAGATTTGCTTCGATTGTTCGACACTTGATGTCGGCAATCATGTGTTCCTGGTAGAGCGATAACGAAACAAGCGTGTCACAGAAAATTCATAAAGCAAGATTTGTTGTACAAATTGTAAAGAGACAGAACAAGTAAAAAATAACAATTTTTGTATTCTTAATTTCTACTATTACCACCACATTTCCTTAAAAATAAAAAAAAAATATAATGGAATAATAAAAATTCAGCTCAAAATGCTATACAAAGGTAAGGGCATCATGCAGCCGAGTAGATCCAGACGTGGTCGTCCGTGCGGTTAATCGAACCGTCAATACGTTTTCTAGTATATTTTTAAATGGATTAATGAGACAAAATGTAAGGAGGTATTGCAGTGTGAACGTTTGAAAAATTCGATCACATTAGAATTCAGAATTCAGAGTCACTAGACTTCAGAGAACAGTTTTTTTATAGCATTTGAGAAAAATCATTTTTGATTTGCATACTAATTTGCCGGCAAAGCATTAATTATCTGTTACGATTTTAATTTTAAACAAGATTTAGCATAATTTGTATATTCTACTCAGAAAGTAAAGATTTTAATAATTTATTGCCCTAATTAGCAAGATATCATTTTCAGATAGCAGTGCATCAGTTTATTAGCTCATGAAAATTGCTTTGATTTTAGATTATCTAATTACCAAAACATAATGTTTCTTATTATTCTTTATTTTGTATTGAAATAAACTTCTCTGCTGAAATAATTTTTCACAAAGTTTTTACTTTATTTCACAAAGTTTTTCATTAATATTGTACCGCTATCACCTAATGTCACAGATAAATTATCCTTGTTTACTACAACTGATCACAATATCGACGTCCATTGTTCACGATGTCTTTGCCACGAAATATTCGAATGTTATTTTATATAAATGAGAATTGTATTTATAATCGAAAAAATTATTTTAAAACGATCCATTTATTTATTTGAATTTTCTATAGAATCCGTTCTTCGCGAACTAATAAATTAGTTAAATAATCATTACTTCAAATTATTATTTTTTATTTTATTTTGTAATAAAATCCGCTCCACGGGACTTGAACAGATACGGTTGTGTCCTTCCTAAATTTGTAAATGGGGGTTTCTCGAGACGAGTTTTATAAAATAAAACTTCATTTCGGATCGATGTGGTTGTATCGATGTAACAATGGAATGAGCTGGTAGCTGACGATTTACCTGAACAAATAATCAAATGCGCGCTTCTCCATGTGCTGCAACTTAAGGAGTGGCGGCGGATCGCTTGGCTCAGGTGCAAGAGGGCCGACGAGCATTGCGCGGAACAACTCCGACTTCTCGGCGAGTCGTTCCCTTTCTACGCAGTACCTCCATGTGTCACCAGGTAGACCGGCCTATATTTATCCAAAGATAAAGTCACATTTTTGTTTCTCTTGCTCCAACATTGTTAATGGATTATTAACCTTTTATCTATAATTGTTGTATATATAGAACAGAAATTTAATAATTTTCTTTTATGATGGAATTTTAAACAAAATTTTAAAGAAAAGACGTGTTCTAAACTTTCGATCCTTATAACTTGAAATATTTAAACAATATCAAGGATCGAAATGTAAGATTTTCATTTGCACATCAAGTTTTATAAGTTTACAAAGTTTCGTAAAAATTTAATGACATGCGTCAAAACTGTGATCTCTTGGCGGAGGATAGCTCAATTCTTCTTTAGAAAGAATAGAAATCTCTTCATTGTAGCTCGAAGTCGTCTTTTCGAAGTAAATTTAGGTATTTGAAGTGTTGTGCAGTATTTATAACGATAAATTATACGATAGACTTCATCTACATTTTAAATATTCTTTTAATTTCATAAAAATTTTATTCTACATATTCTAGCAAAAAAGGAATTTTTTCGTAGTACAGTAGAGACTCCCTTATCCGAACTTTATGTTTACAATATTCTGGTATCCAAACGTTCCATTTTGTAAACATTTTATTATTTAGATACATTATCGCCTAGTAAATAACCT